CGGAGTAAAGTCCAAGCCCAAGGCCAGTCTCCAGCGGAGTTCCAGAATTGGGAAAAATCCTGGAGGCCAAGGCAGAGAAGATTTCTTCAGCCTTTTCTCCGTGGATACCAGTAGCCTTGCTATGCTTTGCTTCCTGTTGCGCACGCCGCAGCTTCCCGCAAGGCCCACGCATGGGCCCAGGCTTTCGCTCAGGCGTCGCAGCAAAGCGCCGGCCTCAACTCTTTAGTTGCGTAGGATCAGGATGTTCGTGCCCCTAGAAAGCGCAACCGAGCAGAGCATGCAGGGCATCCCTCCCTCTAAGTAGGTCAGTAGGACAATGCCAGCAGCTCCAAGCATTGGCCCGAAACTTTTTCAAGAACTAGCTCAATGCTGTCAGCATCATCGCCGGTAGTCGCAAACGAAATTAGCCTCCATCGCGGATTTCTTCGGCGGAGTGGGGCGAGTGCCCTCAGCAGCCGTGGCGGTCGGAAGTGAGAAGTGAACAGTCACAGCAGCGCACAGTGCTCCGAGCCGTCGTCGAAGCCACCAGGGCTTCGGCCTCGATTCTGTCTGCCAACGAGTTCGGCCTACTTTGCACAAGCGTCCTTCATCCCGACGTCCTGCTCAGGTTACGCCTCCCTCCGGGTGCGCCACTTGCAAAAGCTGCGGAAGTGCTGCGTCTAGTGACGAGTGGGTAGAGGGCTGTGGTCCTGCACATGCAAAAAATATAAGTACATACTTTAAATTGATAAATACGCAAATACATAGTGCAAATATAAATGCAAATATACACATAAAGAATCTGGAGGATAGGACCGGTTCTGAAACATAAATATAAACGTAAACCTACAGATAGATACGTATGATATAAATATCAATATGAACATACACATGAGTATAACTATAAACATAGGTGTATATATATATATATATATATATATACGAGCATGAACGTGGTTGCGCACCGGCGCCCCCCTGGTTCCTATGTACATATACATGCATCACAATGTATTTGCGGCGGTCAACTATTCGGTCGCCTGAAGTGTGCAAGCTCCCTGTGGAGCAGGGTGTCTTCCTTTCCCCCCCCGCCCTTCTGTGGTTCTGTGGTTCTCCGTCCGTGCATGCAGTCCTGTTGAGGAAGGAGAACCCACTCCCCCCATGTGGTATGTGGTCTGTCCACCCCTCCTGCCATGAAGTGCTGTACTTCTAAGGAAGTGGTCTTCTGAACTTCCCCTCTGTAGGAGAGCCTTTGGGGACTCTTTGCAACGAGTATTGAGTATTGTATTGGTCGTTTGGGTTTACATGGCGCCGGTCTCGGTCGCAGTTTTGCGGCTTCTCTCAGCCTGATTGAGTGAACGTGTGTCGCAGTCGTAGCACGCGTAGAAGTTTCCCCAATGTTGCTCCCCCAACTTCGTGTCTACCATATTGAACTTGTTCATGATTCTCCGCAGAAAAACAGCACCCCGCGTCTTCTTCCGCCATGTGGCATTCCTAAGTTCCATGCTTCGGAGCGAAGAAAGGCACAAGCAGCAGTACAATACTTGTAATTTGCACCATGTGCTTGTGGACAAGATGCTCGTAAACAATGGAAAGATGAATCGGGTCAAGACAGAGGCACTGCAGATTCGGCACAACTCGCTTGAATTCCGCATGCACGCGCATGTTTGGTCTATCCATCCGTCCGTCCATGCATACATCATACATCCGCCCATACATCCTTCCATCCATCCGCCGATCTCTCCATGCATCGATCTCTCTGGTTATCTGTCTACCCATGTACCCATCCATGCATCGATCCATCCCTCTACCGATATGGATCCGCCTATCCACCCTTACTTCCTTGCATCGATCTATCTATGTACCTATCCTTCTACGCATCTAACCATGCATTTACCTGTCTACCTACCATCCATTGTCTGACTATCTACGTAGGTCGGTCGGTAGGTAGTTGACTGGTTAATTAGGTAAGCAGGCATGTATGTATGTTGTGCATGGCACGTATTTCAGATGCGCATGCGGGCATGCCTGCAGGTACGTAACTGTGTATGTACGCGCATTCTTGTGCGTACGTCTGCATGTATGTATGCATGGATGTATGTATGAATGAATGTATGTATGTGAAGATGCCGGCATGCATACATGCATGCATGCACGTACTAATTATGTCGGTATGCATGCATGTGCAAGCATTATACAAGTATGCAAGCTACAAGCATGTGTATGTCTGTATGTACGTATGTCGGTATGTATGCACGCGGGTACATAAATCAAGTAAATATACAAGTAAATAGGTAAGTCAATACGTATGTATGTATGTATGTATGTATGTATGTATGTATGTACTAATGTAATGTTGTGCTATGTTATGTTATGCTATGTTATGTTATGTTATGTTATGTTATGTTATGTTATGTCATGTCATGTCATGTCATGTCATGTCATGTCATGTCATGTATGTATGTATGTATGTATGTATGTATGTATGTATATATAATTATATATATATATGTATGTATGTATGCATGCATACATACATGCATACATCCACCCATC